CATGGTCTTAATAGGTAGTTCACAAACTCTTTATATAGTTCATACATTTCCTCTCTAACAAGACAAATTTTTATTTACAATATGACATTAATGATACTTACTTGTATCAAAATATGCACAAAGTAATGTAATATACTTACTTTATTGCATGTAAATTGTGAAGAGTGGAAAGCTATGAGATTCTGAGCTGAGGGTGGTGGGAAATTAGGAGGATATTTGTGTAAATTGGTAAAACAAAATAAATGTGTGCGTTGTGTGAGAAAGCAGTAAATATATATATATATATATATATATATATATATATATATATATATATATATATATATATATATATATATATATATATATATCCCAAGTCCCAATTTGTGATCTCTCTCTCACCTCCTTTTATAGAACATTCATGCACTAGTATGCACTTGTTGTCTGTGTCCATCACTCACACTATTCACCATTCATCTACGAACACGTTTACCTACCTTACAACATCATCTTTATCTGTAAACACGAAACACCTTCTTATGTGTCCTCTCTTTCCTTTTCGGAACATTACGGGTCAAGTTTTCCTGTTTAACATTTTTCTTGTCACCATTTACAGAATCAACTCTCAAGTTTAAACATGGGTTTGATATTGTCGTGTTACATCAAAATTCCTCATGGGTTGGAAGAAACTCGAACTCCACCAATGGAATATATGTATATAATATACCCAAGTCAGATTGGTAGATCCAGAAAACTAGGGTCAAATCTGAATAATACGTCCCAATTCAAGCCTCTGAAAGCTTCAAATTAAGTCTATCCTTCTATCAAATGTTCACTTAAAATATTTTTGGTTTACAAATATGTGATTTAATTGCTGATTGCAACTAGCCAGACAAGGATGCTTAAAATTAATAAAAACACAGAGAGTCGTGACATTTCTTTAAAACCAAAATGAACTCATGACTGTTCCATTAGTTCATAGTCAAAGCACGACACATTGGTTGTAACTTACTTATCTGATCAAACCCAGTTTAATTCCCGCTTACTCACATGAATTTTATAAGCAAGGTTCTGTATTTCCATTCATATGCATATAATAATTTTTATAAAAACTAAATCTACAATCAGACCTTATAATTTATTTTAGTATTATTGTTAAAAAAATTCAAAAATTATATTAAAATACTTTTTATAAATATGACCATAAATCAATCATAAAAAATATAAAAATATGATAATATATTTAGTTTATAATATTAAGACATTGAATTAAATTTGAGAATTTCTTTATTTATATGTTATTGAGTTTTTTTTTATTTCTTTCATTTCAATTCGCATGTGGACGAAACCCTTTAAAAATTAAAAAATATATTAAATAATATATATCAAATAAATTAGTGAAAATAAAAATAACAAAATAGCATGCTTGATAACTTAGTTTCATAAGCTATTTCAAATAATTTATTTTTAACATCTGAAAATAAGTTAAAAACTATTATATTAAATTTTGGTAAAGAAAAACTATTAAGATATTTTTTTCAACTCATCTTAAATTAAAAATTATCATAAGATAAATTTTAACATTCTTTTAAAATATGTTATTAGAAACATCGTCTAATGTCTAATATTTGAGTTTATTTTTGGTTGTAGAACGATTTTTAATTTAAATAAAAATATATAAATAACTTGAAATTTACTGAAAATAATGATGTCAATGTCCAGACTTGAAACAAATAGTTAAATTTTAACATTGAAAAATAAAATTCATTAATTAAAACTACAATTCAGCATTTTTGAATGTTAAAGTAAAAAATGAAATTTAATATAATAATTAAAAATAATTAATAATACGAAAAGATTGATCAAAGTATATGAAAAATAATGTTAAATATAGTTATTAGGAGATTTGGCAGAGGTGGGGTGAAACTTATAATTTCTTCACAGAATAATAAGAAAATGAGTTAAAAAAGATCAAATATATGATTTTTCTTCTATCAGAAAATACCAAATAGTATGACAGGTACTTTCTTATATTAGATTATTGTTCACATTAAATATTTTATTAAATAATGATTGGGTGGGAGAAAAAAACTTTGGACAGACATAAAGTTTTTAACAGTATGCAGATGGCATAATTTCAAATTTATTAAAGTAAACTAAACCTTTTTGCTGTTAGGTTTGAATTGTGAATTTTAATATGCGTTACTGTTTTTTCTTGTTATGTATTTAACATTCTTGTAATCTTATAAAATAGTTGTTATATACAAAATTATTTAGTTAAAATGTCAAATCATAAATCATTTAACAAATCTTTTAGATTTAACATGTGTGTTTCTTTAAATAAATATAAATAAAAATTCTGAATTTGTATTATGTTAAAATTGTTATAAAATATTAATGTCATATATATTTAAACCAATAAATATGTTGTCAAATTTATATTATTATTAAAACATAGATTTACCTTATATAGAGGCATGCAAAAAGTAGATTCTAAAATAAATAATTTATCATGTTACCGTATTTAAAAACAGTTATTATGATTTATATATTTAATATATATAAAAATAAAAAATATATACTTAAAAATATATAATAATAATTTAAAATTATAAAAAAAATATGAACACACACATACCTGCGCTTTCACCAATTAAATAATAGATAAATTAATGCTTTAATATTTTCATAAATATCATATTCAAGCTTTATATTTTTCCATCCTATTTATGACTTAAAGAACTACGTTTCAATTTTGCTGAACAAGTTTATAGTTCTATTATATTTGCAAATGTTGTGAGATTATCACGTAAAAAAAAAAATTTGAAGTTATAATTATTTTATTTTCAAATTGCAAAATTTTTTTTTTCATATTCATTTTACACAGTTTTATATCTTAGACAAAACTTCTCCATTAAAAAACATCCCAAATTTAGGATCCAAAATTTGAATAAAAGTTTGCATTTCTATTTTTCAGTGTATATATATAATAATGAAAGGTTTAAACACGATTGTTTTTAAAATCAGATTGTTGATTAGTGAAAGATATAAGTTTAGGTTTTAAAATTCAATCGGTCAAATCAAATTTAATAAAACATTGTAATATAATATAATAAATTTATTAATAATAATATTTTTTTATAAAAAAACTATTATCATAAATTATAATAAAAACTATATAAATATAAAATATATTAAAAATTAAGATGAATAATTATTAAAATAAAAATATAATAAAATAATAATTATTTAAATTTTATATATAACTAATATATAATAAGAAAAATGTATTAAAAAACATAAAATGAATAATGATTAAAATAAGATAAAAAATTATATAATAAAATAATAATATCTATATTAGTATACTTGACATTTTGAATTATCTATTGCTTTCATTCCACCATATTCTATTTCCATCTCTAATTTTAATGCTTTATAATGAATTATCAAAGGTAATTTTTTTCCCTTGAAAATCTAATGAAAGAATTACATAGGAAAAAGTTAAAAAATATATATATATATATATATATAAAAACTAAAATAAAAGCAACAAGTAGACAAAATTCAAAGATTGAAAACTCCCATACATTATGGCAACTAAAGAGTTATTTAAACCATAAATAGATGAACAAAGGTGTGTTGAAAAACAGTGAATGGGTGAAATAATTATACATATATGATATATCACCGAAAGTGATAAGTGTTAATTTATTTATTTATTTGAATGAGTTGAACTGTAACCAAGTTAGGATTGGTCAAAAGGTTGAAGCGTAGATCCGCATTCTTCTTATCTACATGTCATCGATGAGACGCTGAATTATAAAGAATGGGAGTGTCTATTTATAGCAAGTAGAAATGCATCATTTAAAGCATGTTTCATGAATCTATGCCACCTTGACCACAAAATTCCACGTTTGGAAAATAATACTACCCTCTTACAATTCATTTTCTTTCTTCACCATATTTCATCATTTCCCTTCCCCTACTACTATACTTTCCTTTATTTCATAATAATGCTACCATAATCATATGCACCTTCTCACATTTTCTCCTCTTAATCTTAATCTTAATACTATTTTTTTTATACTTCAATTAAAAATATTATATATTTTTCTCGTGCAAAAATAGATGAGAAGAAAAATAAAAATAAAAAATTGTGAGATCCTATGACCAATAAAATAACTTGTCTTAGGAAACCCATAAAATATTATTATATATAGAATTGAAAAAATAAAATAAAATGCAGTTGATGTAACCCATCCTCTGCCCGTGAGTACACTATACGATGTACAATTTTAATTTTGAACCTCACTAATATCTAAAATCAAACTTTTTATTTATTTAGAAGTTAATGTTTTATCCCATTAGAACGAGTGAAAACTCATTGAATTAAATAAATAACTTTTCTTAATGTTTTACCTGAAGTCATTTATTTATGCTTTGTGAGCGATGAGATAGGAAGCTCTTTAAAATTAGAAAATAAATTATTAATTAGATGCACACTCAATTGTCAATATAATATACCAATATAATTAAAAATATAATATAAAAATTTCAAACTTTAGTAATTGAACACCTTACATCAAGGAAATCAACGAAGAAGCTAAAACAAATCAAATCATGAACATCAAGAGTGATTAGAAATTAAAACATACACAACAACTGATTTTTTTCCTTAGTTTCACCACGGTTAAATTATTTAATTTTTTGTTTCATTATTACTGTACAATTAAAATATATGTTATTCTATAAATTAAAAATTAATGGAACTGTGTTTTAAATCTGAAGAACCAAAAGTTAGAGTCCACAGTGTAGCATCTGAAAAAGAAGTTGAAAGTATAGTGGTAGTATATGACGAGTAAATGTTCCACAGCTCTCTTCCCGGCTCTGTCGTTGCATTGTCAAATCACGAATCAAGTTCATGACAGAAAGCATTCTTTACTTTGTTTTAATGGTGACAATAATGTCTTCAGAAGAATCAATGGTGCCGTGACAATAACACCACAAGAGATCCTGTAATGTCTGTTGGACGATGGACATGGATTGTACTTTCCCAAGTATGAGAGAAGAGAACAACTTTCTTAGTCCACGGAAAAAGCCCTCAGAAACACAGAACATGAGATGAGAAAATTCTCTACCAGACAGAACAGAACAGAACACCATCATCGGATGACTACTTCCTTCGCAAGCCACGACCACAACGCATAAAGGGACTCTGTACCAAAATCATTCCCTAACACCCTCTATCGAAAGATAATCACTCTGAAGAGAATAATAATAAAATACCCTCTTTTTCTTTTGATTTGCTTGGAGAAGATCATGTTCAGATAAAGGGGTGGCGAGAGAGCTAAGTAGCGTAGTGGTAGACACGTATGTGTTGTTGGAACATAAAAACTAGGAGGATTGTGGTGCTGTAGTAGAGATGAGATTCCATTGAACATTGAAGGTTGTCATTTCATTTAATTTGCTTTCCTTTTCTCGGGGGCACTGTTGAATGATACTACTAATATTTATTTAAAATTGGGGCACTTGATTTAAATTTCATCGAAAGGATTTAATAAAGAAAAATGGGTTGGGTTATTACTAGATGGATGGTATTAAATTTTGTTGGTGAGGGGTTGGATTTTTAAATAAGGGGTTTAGCTTTAAAAGCCGTTGGATTTCTATTGCCCTGTGTTGCTCCGAGACTTAAAACACCGACTCTTCCTCAAGCAATGAATGAAGAAAGGCCCTCCTTCTGCACTTTGTAATTGCAATATTTACTCCAAATTTCCCCTTCCTGCATACTTCTTGGGATTTTTCCAAACAATTAATACATTTCCTGGCCTCAATTTACACTCTCCTTCTACCCAATACTTCAATTCAATTCAATCCCATCGCTCTCTCTCTCTCTCTCTCTCTTCTCTCTCTCCCCCCCCTCTCTCTCTACACCCTACCCCCCTCCACCTCTCTCTCGCAATTAAATTAAGCCTTAAATCACTCCCTTCATTTTCCTTATATAAAATGCCCATGAACCTCCACCCATTCTTGCAACAACAAAGATCACCAACACTTTGCTGGTGCCACTCTTTCTGACCACCCCTTTTCCCCTTCCAAAACATCTTCCAACAACCTTAAAGTGAGTCATCAAAACTAAACCCACCCCCTCTTCTCCTCTTTCAATTCTAGTTTCCTCTCCATGTTCCTGTAATTCTTCCTTTTCCACTTTCTTTATTGTTGTTATTTTTATTACATATATTTTTCTGTTGTGGTTGCAGAAAACAGAGGAAAGCCATGAGTCGCAGAAATGGAAGTGGTCCACAGCTTGACTTGAAGCTGAACCTGTCCCCCCCGAGGGTTGACCGAAGACTGGAGTCGCCAACACGATCGGCGACGGCGTCACCGACTTCACCGCCGAGCTCGTGCGTGTCTTCTGAGCTGAACCAAGAGGAGAAGAATTACTCTAACAGCCCTGAAGCCACTTCCATGGTGCTCGTGGGTTGTCCTCGCTGCCTCATGTATGTGATGCTCTCTGAAGATGATCCGAAGTGCCCCAAATGCAAAAGCACCGTTTTGCTTGATTTCCTCCACGACACCAAAAACCCCACCATAAGAAGGAGTTAGAGTGATAGAGTTAGGATATCCTGTTCCTAGCTCTGCTTTCTTCAGTTCCTAGCCCTGTTTTTCTCTGTTCCTAATAGTAGGACATATTATATTATATTAGCTAGTAATGCTTAGGAATTAATCTCCTTTTACTTTTTTTACTGCTTTTAACTATTCCCCCTTCTATGAGTAGTGCTATGTGCGCTCCATTTTTACCCTCTCTCCCTACAATTTTGTGAAAGCAGGGGATGGATGTTTGCAGAGACAGAGAGAGACAGAGTGGAGCGTGAATAGCACTATTTGAATCACCTATAGAAAGAAAGTTACTGGGCAATTCGCGAGTGTTAGGTATCTATTATATAGGAGTTGGGTGATCTTTAGCGGTTAAGAAAGTGTAATAGGGCTTATAACCTCAGGTGCCCTCTTAGTTTGCTTGTTGAAATCCAACCTCGGTTTTCTTTTGACTCTTTTTTTTTTTCCTCTGCATCCACGATGTTGATGCTAATGTTCATGTTAACGTTACTGTTTCATCCAACGGTGCACGCATGCTGTTATTGTTAACGTTAACCAGCATAAAAAGTAAATAAAAATAAGAAATGAAATAAAAATAGCCGCAACAAAAGCAAAGTTTTGTAAGACAGAATGTAGATCCTCTGTACTTTGTGTTAACAGTTGAAATGGTTTGGAAGTAAAGGCCCACCAAACCGGTGTTAACTGCTCCATCTACTGCACTTTGTGAAGTTGAAGCACTCATGTGCATGCTGAAAAATGAAAAATAAAAAAGAAGGCCTATGTATGAGGTTAAATCTGATCGTAATGGATTAGTTGACTTTGTTGTTGTGGATTTTGTTGAAACAATTGAGGATATAGATAGAGTGGTATCTAATATGAGATGGGCAGTGATGATTGAAAAATGAGTCGTGTAATTTGATTCAGATCCCCTGACACGATGGAATGGAAAGTTTTGCATGCGATAACGAGTTAATTAAAAAAAGGGGAAGGTTGCAACTTCCATGTTACAAAATTCAAGTGTCCACGAGTATAATGAGAGCAATGGCGTGAAAGTCGTATGTCGTGTAGTATAAGAAAATTATGTTGTGGGTTAGGAGATGAAGAAGGATGAGTGAATCAAGGATGGTAGAGGGTGGGTTGGGTAGTTCCGAGCATTGAAAAAAAAAGGCCATTCTATTAAGGCCATTTAAATCACATAAATGCAAGAGTAATTGAGACGGTTGAGAATAATGTGGGAGATATTACTTCAGATGATAAATGCTCTATTTTTATTTTTTTCTTTCTTTTTCATCAATTTTATCAACACCTTCTTCTTCTTCTTCTTCTTCTTCTTCTTCTTCTTCTATTTCTTCATCTTCATCGTCCTTTTCTTTGTGTTTCTTCGCCTTACCCTTGTTCACACCTATCTGCAGTTTTGCCTTCATTCGTGTTTATGTATGCGCAGAGACCATAATTGCACCAACTAAGCCTCTCTCTCCTTTTGTCAGTTTCGTTAGTAAATTGACATTGAAGGTGTGACAGAGCATTAATCGGTAATTTATAACCATTAGATTGAAAACTTCAAAATCTGAATCATTATGATTCACCCTTAAATATGTAAATTTATAGGTTAAATCAGAAGAGAACGTCATGGGAAATGACACAATTAATTGTGTGCGCGTGTGTGCGATCAATAAAATAAGGGCAAGTTGATCAAGGAACACAGCTCATGGACAGAAAGAGAGATCGGTCACCAAAATGAGTTTCCTAAGTCTCAATTGAAACCCGCAAAACATTACTTTTAGGGTTCGATAATGGGTCATCAAATTGGTTACTAATGTATATGAAAATAAAACATCGCGTGATAAGAACAAACAAACGTTGGGTGAATTCCATGATATTAAGGCCTAAGAAGTGCGCATGTCATCTCTTGTTTAAATGTTTGAAGTTTAGTTTTTTAACACTCCTAATAAACAGCGATTCAACATAATTAAAGGCCTGAAATTTTCGTGTGTATATGGTATTAGATAAATATTTATCCAAACATGATTAGAATGAGCGTGATGTAAAACAAATACTATTGTTCTTTTGTTTGTAGCAATAAATTTGGTTATCGATGTATGATACAACATTTATTGCAATTACCTCTTATTCTTTTGCTACTTGTCATTACCATCCATATCTTCGTGTCTTGTATTGCATCACATGGATCAAAAGTAATGAATTAATCATTATATATATTTTTGTTATAGTTGACTATATCCTCATAATATGGGATATGTATGCATTACATGCGTGCACTCAAATTGTAAAAGAAAAAAAAGAAAAAGAAAAAAAAAGAGGTAGCATATGTGCTACAAATGAACCAAGTAATATAACATGACGAATGGATCCTCGTATATTTGTTTTGATCATAAATCAGATTTAGGTCAAGGTACTAAGATCAATTTGAAGATTAAACCTTAATTACATTATTTTTTTCTACTTCAATGTATATATATATATAACACATCAATACATAATTTAAAATTATTTTTTTACAATTTTTTAAAATTGTAAAGATTGTTTAACAAATTATGTTTTCCCTGACATTTTTTCCCATGCATGTGATTAAGAATCAAAATTCTAACAATATATTTGAATAACTAAACTATATCAATCAATCGTATTAATTTTTGTTCGTTCAACTATGACTGTGTGTGAACAGATTCCACGAGCATGCGCTATGTATATAGTACAAAACGTAACTAAAATGTGTTAACAATCAACGTCACTATTAATTTGCATGAAAAAATAAAAAAATAAAAAAATTTAAAAAGCAAAAGTTACAAATATATTTTTTGTTTTCCTCTGAGGAATCACCGGTTATCCAGATATAAAATATTTATACAAATATTTAATTGGAATTTTGTTTTTAATGTTGTGAACCTGTTGGAAGCTTCAAACATTTGACGCAAACGAGGAAAGATGGGAGAGAATGGAAAATTTGAGGTTGGAGATAATTCTCTTTTTCAAATTTATTGAAAGATAAATTTTATTAACACGTGTAGAGTCAACAATCTAATATATCTATCTATCTATCTATCTATATATATATATATATATATAAGTGCTGGCCCACCAAGTTTAGATGCCTATGTAATAATAATACTAATAATAAGGTCAGTTTTGAAAAAATCATTTTTAAGAAGGATCCAGCGAGAAAGAAAAAAAGAAAAAAATAATATTTTGTATATTAAAATAAAGGTATATATAACTTAATATTTATAAGTCTTTTTATATAATTTTAAACAATAGATTATAATTTATTTTTAACATAAACATAAACTCGTTTTATTTTTTTTCTTTTCAAAATCTTCTTAACAAATTTGTTTAAATATACTTTAAGATAAAGTTATTTAAATTTTAGGAAGCTAGTTTAAATTTTATAAATAAAATGAAGTTAAAAATTTTTAAGAACAAAAGTTACTGTTCATAATAATCTTATCATATTCAAATAAGATTTTTTTAAAGTATACATATATATGGTTCATAAAATAAATTACATCATAACAGAAACCAGAAAAATAATGATTGTAGATTTCAAGACGAGAAAAATTTAAAAATAATATATTTAACTCGAAAATTAAAGTGTCATTATATTTATTTTTACAAACAATTAAAGTGGCGATTAAAAATATAAATGATTTTTATTTTAGATAGACGGATAAGGGAATATATATATATATATATATATATATATATATATATATATCAAAAGACTAATGTACCTTTTGATATTTTTAAAATAATTCAAGCGAAAGTTAATTAATTTAATTAAAAATATTATATTTGCTTGTAATTATATAATTAAAAAATTGAAATTAAAATCTTTAATTCTTCAATCTTCATAAGAGGAAATAAAGACAATTAAAAACAGTCATTATCATGTACTAAAGTGGTTAATGATGTTTTAGTCAACAAATAGTTAATGAACAGAATAATTAAAAAATAACCTAGTAAAAAAGTATTTATGATGAAGAAGAAATAGTTTTTTGTTTTATTTTTTATTTTTTAAACTTGTTTTGTTCTCTTGTCTAAGATTGGTAATTAATGAAATGAGCCAATTCATTATTAATGGAAATTAACTTTCCGGCAACATGTTAGTTCACATTAAAATGAATTGTCTAAGGCAATGAATTTCGAAACTTGCATTAATTAAGGTGTTTTGACTCAACATTTTACATTGTGTTGAACTGATACAATAATAAACTATAATCAGCTTGTTAAATTTTAAATATATTCATATTATTATTATTACTATCTCTTTTTTTCCAAATCACAAAATATTTGTGCGTTTTTATTTGCTATCTTACTCATAACAGTATGTTCTTGGATAATGTCTCTGTTGCAAAACTTGCTAGTTAATTTTTATATTTTTTTGTGTAATATATATTTTATTAAAACTTTGTAAATAGTGTTTGGTAAATATATATATTTTTTATTAGTTTGTAAATTTGTTGAGACAAGTATTATTTTAATTCAAATACTTTAATCAAAAGTAAGACGTTTACTTGATTATACTATTTAATATTTTACAAATTTTTTAAGATTTTGTATAAAAATAACAACAGTATAAATACATTAATAAGAATATATTAATTATAACCAGATACTATAAAATAAATAATTTTTAAAATAAAAATTAAATTAAATACTCTTCTAAAATAAAATTATTTGAACCAATATAATAATGATATATACGGTGGTTACAAATCAACAGTGGACAAATAATAATTACATTATATACACATTTTTAGTTACATTCACACATTAAAATAGATCACTTTTGCTATAATTTGATTTATTTTTTTTTGGGAAAAATAGTGATTTATCCTATGAGTAGTAATAAAGTTCCTGGCACGAGACTTTACATGTATATGAGGAATAATAGCGTTGGCAATTAGGATCGTTCATTCAACCATGCAAATTGTCACAAACTTAAAAATATCAACCTACTTTTTCCCCCTTATGAATGACAATACCAATTTAATTGGGCAATTCGAGTTTTGCTAGGCCCAATTTTCGCAGGCCTAAATAAAGAGCTTACTATATTTGGGCCTCTGACTGCATCATAGGCTTGCAAAGTGGATCGTAGACTAGCCTGTAAAAGGGAATAGTTAGTTTTTATCACAATGCTATAATTTGAGACTTCTCAAAACACTTTGAATAAAATTCACTGTATTGTTTAAGGGAACTAAGTCTAGAGATGAAAATGGGTCACCCTATTCATTTTACTTAGCTTATTAAAAATAGGTAAAGTCAAGATTATTAATCAATCGAAAATGGATTGAAAATCCCTATAACAAATAAGAAAAAACAATTATTTATTTATTTTATAAAATATTTTAAATAAAGAAAATTATTAAAGTATATAAAAAACTTTAATAATTTATTTTAATTTTATTTAAATAATATTATTTATCAGCTTTATAGAAATTAAATTTATAAAAATAAACTAACAATAGTAATATTTTGTATAAAATAATAAAATATTTTAAAACACATAACCTAACTTTAATATATATATATATATATATTATGAAAATAAATTACAGAAGATTATATTTTTATTATTATTATTTATAATAATTTAAAATAATATTTCATTTTAATTATTAGATTATAATAAAATAAATGATAAATAGTAAAATTCTAATTTTCATTATTAAGTTGTGTCAAATCAAATTGTTAGAGATGTTTTAATCAAAATTGATATAAAGAGCAAATATAAATAAAAAATACATAAATTTGAAAATGAATATATTATAAGAAAAATATATTTTTTTAATGAAATTTAAAATTGTTTTATTTTAAATGATTAAATTACTATTACAACTTTGTATTTTTTTTTATCCAAACCACTTATCATAAAACATTTGAAGAAAAAAATGTCATGAAGATGACTCTTAATAAAAAATAAATAAAATATTAATCTTTTATTTATAATTTTAAAACTTAAGTCAATTTAAAATTTCGTTCATGTAAATTTCAATTCTTCTTATATAATATTCATCCTTTCAAATCACATGTTTATCTTTATTAATTCACATTTACTTAATTTGTTTGTACCGAACTTAATTAATAGTTGCTTTAAAGTAAACAATATTTTAGGCACTGTTAATTTAAATGGTATTAAATTATTAAGAAAAATAAGGAAATTAGGTATTTTTATCTTAAACATGGGAGATCACATGTAATACAAACAGTGCGTTTGGTCGTGACAGGAGAAGCGTGGACTGAGAATCCGTGTGGTGTGATTGAGGTATTTAACTTTCCCTATTCCCCCGAATCGCTGTTGTGTAAGTTTCTTTTTCTTCGTTATTGTTCCGAAATTTGCTTTCAATTTTTCCTTACGCCGATTCCCCTTTTTCCTCAGACATTTCGATACTTTCATCAGATCCACAACAATTGTTCATCCATGACGCTTAGCTCTGCAGGATCCAGTGTCGTGGGTTAGTTTCTCAAATATTATTTTTCACTATGATTTTTTTTCTTTTTTAATTTTCATTTAAATCGAAATTCATTTTCGCAAACATGCATGCTTTCTGTTAGTTACCTGTTGCCTTGACTTGTCGCCCCGCCCCCGATGAACTTATAAATTGCTTGTTTTGTTTCATAATTATCGGGGTTAAATTTTATTTATAGAAACAGCGTGGGGTTTTCAACCCATGCTGCTGTTTCGAATGGGGAATTTTGTATAAATATTGGTTTCGTTTTTGTTTTTTGGATACCCTAATTATAATTTGAATAATTTCGCCTTGTTATCACGGATGTTTATCATTGTATGCTTCTTTTGGCATTCATATCTCATTTCTACTGTTTATATATATATATATATATATATATATATATATATATATATTTATTTATTTATTTTTTTTTATAAGAGAGCCCAGGTGAGATGTCTTAATAATCACTATTTTATATGATTTTTTATCTTTTCCTGTTTTAGCCAGTTCTCTATTATTTCTTACTCTATTGAAGCGTGTTCACGATAATAACACAGGACACATTGTTATGTGATAACATGAGAGAAGAAAGATTCTTTATGATAACTCTAGGTCTAATATTATAGTAAAAGTTCTAACATTCAAAGACTTGGTTTTAGCTTTTAAAATGTAAGCTAGTAACTTTTATATGACGTCTCTTGTTAGGAAAATTGATTAGTTATAACCAGATTCCTAAGCATAACCTCCTAGGTGCGATTTACTTGAAACCATTCTCAAAATGTATTTATTGATACTTAACCCCCAATCCAATCCTATTAGTAATCTCTGGGACATACAAAAATGACACTAGAACTCTTTAATTAGTATCATAAATCTGACATAACATACTTCTTGTAAATAGAAACCACAAAAGTAGATAAAATTCTTAAATTTATCAAGTTATAAGCTAAGTGTTTACTATATTATTTTGCCCTGCTCCTGCATGAAAATGCCCTGTGAACAAAGAAATGTGCTATTCCTTCAGCTGGATGAAGAAATATGGAACGTTTTCTGTGGCTCTGCTCCTTGTTTTAGTGACTATGAAGTTGTGTTATGAACCTAGAATAGAAATGGGAAAAAAAAAATTATAAATTGAATGAATTAGGCAGAACTAGAGAGAGAAATCCTTCCTTTTTAAGGGTTTCCCCTTACACACAAAGTTAATGCCAATGTTTACATTTGATACCCAACAAAACGATCCTCTTTTCGTACATCCTTCTATATATATAAAATAACCTCTTAATTTACTAACTAACCACTCTAACTACTGCTAACTATTTTTTCCATCTCTCCTAACTCCTAACATTGTGCCGAATATTTGATGAAAGGATTATACATGTAACTATTTTTTACATTTATTGAATATACAATGCCAGTATAAGTGTGTAGTTAAAGACATTTGCACCATAATGTAGTTCCAAGGAACTTCAGATTGCTTGAGGAACTTGAAAAGGGAGAAAAGGGAATTGGAGATGGCACAGTTAGCTATGGAATGGATGATGGCGATGATCTTTACATGCGCTCTTGGACTGGCACTATTATTGGCCCCTATAATGTAAATATTTATCTATCACCACCTTGATTTTTCTTTACAGATATGTTAATGTTAAATGTGCTAAATTCTATTTGAACTAGTGAATTTTCTTGTTTCAATTGATTTAAATTTATAAGAACCATTTCAATAGTGGAAGTATTGCATTCTAAAATGAACTTCTTACTTTCCGAGTAATACAAATTGGGCATGTTAGTCCTTGAATAAACGTTTGTGTCTCAATGTGTACACTATATATAGTGTTCAAGTTCATGTCTAAATGGTCCAATTTTAAGAATTATGTTATATAACATAGTACAAACTTCCATATATTTATACATGTGTACTTTTATCATCATACAATTTTACTGGTAATAATATTGACAACTTTTAAAATTATTTTACTGGTTGTTTTAATAGGAACCTTTTTTGGCTTTCTTTTATGATAATTTACTGAATATTTACCTGCCTTGATTAATGTAGCTTCTTTGCATAATTTTAAAAAATATCCGAAGTATGAATAGCTCTACCCTTATAAATCAGAGAATTTAGTCATTATCATTTTTCCACATAATGTAATTTATTTTATTTTCTGTGTATAGGCTATTTGCAGGTTCAGTAACTGTGTTTTTTCTGTTTTTCCACCAGACTGTACATGAAGGAAGAATCTATCAATTGAAGTTGTTTTGTGATAAAGATTACCCAGAAAAGCCTCCAAGTGTTCGGTTTCATTCACGGATCAATATGACTTGTGTTAATCATGAAACTGGAGTGGTACAATTCATAGTTTTTCAGATGCTGCTTTTTACATGTTTCATTGCAATAGGTGTTGTTGTGGTGCGGTGGGGGGGTATACACAATGCTAACTTCTGTATTTTTTACTTTAATTTCTTAATTGATGTTTGGAATAATTATGGAGATGTACGTTAGAGAAATGTATTCAAGAGTGTTAAAAACTATTGACTAGAATGTGGCCAAAATGATGAATATAAGTTGGAGCAACCTTACTCTGTGAGTTAGCTTCGAAATCAAATTAGGTTCAAACTGAAATTCTTAGATAGTATTAGAAATTATCGAAATGGCTGTTGGACCCAATGATCTACTGGGTCATTTGTTATCATGTCATTTTTTACCCATCTATAAATGTCTTGTAGACTCCATATTGTCGAGTTATCAATGTGAAAAGTGTGTTGGAGATATGTGTCGAATACTGTATATATGACCCTATGAGGTAGATTTTGGGTTTGAGTTATACTTAAAAAATTGAGAATAGTTATTTGGGTTCTAAGGAGGGAATATATGTAGAACAGTCCTAGGAACAAGATTTCTGACACATTCTTTCTAGTACACTCTCATTGGTTAAAAATTATTGAAAACTAAAGAGGTATGTTAAATAAGAAATGACGTACAAAATTTTGTCATGTCCAATAAAAAAGATTGTGTTCAAGAAAAATTGTTGGAGAATATGCTGCTATCATTTCTCATATGTGTATTGATTTCATCACGCCTTGATGAAAGAAAATACAGGGTTGTTTCAACTACAACGATTACCATCCTATTTCTCTTAAAATAACATAAAACTTGGTTGATACATCCTTATTTCAAATGTACTGGATATTTGAAACTTTGGAAGATTAAGCATGTGTTGTTGAACTTGGATGGACCATGGAATGTGGTTGGATGACTCATTTACTCAAGAAGAAATAAAGGAGACAGTTTATTGTCAGGGGAGAAAGGAGCAAGGGGTTAAGAGGTTAGGCAAGACTGCAAGAATTGACTGCTTTGGAATTTGGATCCCCCTTCTTTATCTTTCTCCAGATCATTTATTTCTCGTAGTTATGCAGTTTAACAGGCCTCCCGTTGCATCTAGGAACTAGTTTTCTAATACATACATCTATGTTTTCGTCCTTCATGAGTCCATTTTGCTAATTTGACAATAAATTACCGCACTAAGTTTTATGGATTTGCAATTGAAACAGGTTGAATCAAAGAAATTTGGTCTTCTTGCAAATTGGCAACGAAGGTTTACCATGGAAGATATATTGACCCAACTGAAGAAGGAGATGGCAGCTTCACATAACCGCAAGCTTATCCAGCCTCCTGAAGGTACTTGCTATTAGTGTCCAAAATCATACTGATATTAGATCATATTTCACTTGCAGTGCGCAATATATAGTATGTAATACTCTGGATCCTTTTATGTTCAAGAACATATAGGGGATGCCCAAATGAGCTTTATCTTACCTCCATAGCTTAAGAGTTGTTTTGTTGCCTTACGTCCATACATTGTCAATTATGTTGAAGGGGATACTCTATTACTGATGCTAAATATTGAATGGCAACTCTTTAAGTAATATTTTCTAATTAGTGTTTCCCATTTTGATCTTGCTTTTTTTTTATTCACTTGCTTTCTGGCTTTTAATTTACCGAGCTGCTATATAAAAAATGTGACAAATGTTTTGTGGGTGTAAATTGTCCTCTGTTAGTGCTTGATGTGTTCCATATTTGTCAATGTGAACGTGATTCTATTTGTGGATTCGGGATTCTCATATTGTCCAATTTTGGTGTCGGTTGGGAGCTAAGTATTATCCCCTGATGTATTGGATCAACATCAGTGTAAAAACCAGTAGTATGTTTGAAGAAAACTGTTGCCAATTTTCGTTGAGAAAGGTTGACATAATTTCTATAGGCTTGAACAACTTGAATCGTTATGAACATGCATAAATAAAACCCCTGTAAGATGTCTCTTCAAACATTATAGTGAATTGTTGTGTTCCCATTCATTTTCCATGATCATACGACGTCTATTCATTGTAGGAAAGAAATTAGCATCATATTTTTTACGAAATTTATAATTTTTTTTAACAACTAAGAGATAGAAAAAGGAGAAGGAATAATTAAAATAAAATGAGTGATTTGATTGAGAAATAGAAAGAACAAATAAATTTTAAACAAAAATGTTTTAGAAAAATATGCCTAGGAATAATAGTACAACTATTTTTTAAGCATCCTTATCTACCACTCTATTTATAATAATTGGATAAATTGTATGAAAAATAGTTACGATTATGAACGAAATAATTCACAGACTGAATTCCATGATAATGCAACAATTAATTTTTTTAACTTTTGACTAATCCCTGTTTTTCCAAATGGTTTACCTTTTACTCATTCCTCTGCTTGGTTTCGTGGGCTAATATTAATGACAATTGAACTAACAACCAACAAACACATTAAATATAAAATAAAACCAACCACAAAATAAAAGGAGAAGGATTGGGCTGACAACATAGAACTTGTTGATGTTGTTACAACGTATGACCTGGCAAAAACAGTAAAAATTTGATGACTTCATGCTGCGTAAGTATTTATATGTCCCTCTTTTTTCTCAAATGTTTATTGTGACACATGTATCATGGTTAATTATGCACTGAGCCTTTGTTGAGATTCAAAATAGATTTCAGGTATTAAAATAAGATTAAATAAAAAATAATGAAAAGAAGTGAAAATGAAATATACTAATTTATTATTTAAATATTTATTATTTATTATTATAATTAAACAATAAAAAATTAAAAAAATCCACACAATGACTTTTTATATTATCGATATTTTACTACAACTATGACTAATTTTTTTACGTATGGATAGAGAGGGTGAATTTTGTGTTCGTATACAAACATAACCTAAATTTAAAAGAATAATTATTTATTTTTCACAAAAATAAAAACTCAAGTTATATTTCTTAAAAAACATTGAGTTAAATGCACATATTGTCTTACAAAATTACAAATTTCTATTACATTGGTTAAGTTAATCAACAACGTTGTTTACTGTACATCAAGAGTTATGTATTATGTATAATAATAAATATATTTATTTTAATTTATTCGGTAAAACTCTTTTTAATTCGTGCAGTCTTTGACTAAGTAGTAAACAATTATACATACACTTTTCACAATACCTTTTATAATAGTTTTTTTATCATTGTAAAGTTCTATCTATCACACGTATTTGTTTTCCTACAGTTTGGGTATAATTGTAATCTCCATTTGAGAATTGATCCTTTCTTTACGAAGAACATTTTTTTTAGTTATTGATGAGTAGGGTGGATGTTCACTTCTTTGTATTAAAATGTTTTAGTAATCTTTTAAGCACTTTACATTTACTAAAACTAAGCAAAAATAATAATAATTTTTATAATTTTGAAATATATAGTTTATCTTTACAACACGATTTTATATTGCATCATTGTTCTATTACTATTCTCACCTCCATCATAATTATTAACTAATTTTTATCATGATGAAAAATATTTTAGCTATTTTTTTAAAATTATTAAAACAACTTTGGAAACTATAAATCATTCTAACTAAAAGCTAAAAACTAGGTGTAATTTAAAAAAAAAACGTATAAGTTAAAAGCCATAAATAATTAATAATAGTATTGGGATACGACTATTTGTATTACTGAGTAATATGGTTGATGTGTTTACACATTTTTTATCCATAAAGATCATCACACAAGGTTAAAGATTCTCCTAATTTAATTTTGATAAAAAAAAAAAAAGATTTCTTTATCTCTCCAATATAATGATGTTTTGTCACTCAACAATATAAGAGAAGCAAAACCTTTGAGAGTTGTCTTTGTTGTCTGTCTTACCTAATTCGACTTAAAAATATTCTCAAGGATTTTAACAGTATGTTATGTGTTGTAAACATATTTCTAATTTTCACATATAGAGTAATTTTTAAAAATATAAAAATTTATTATGTAATTTCTGAAAGCCATGTAAAGTCTTTTTACACTAATAGGGAATTGCATGTAATAAGTATTTATAAATAAATAAATAAAATAATATAGATTTTAATCATTTAAAATTGACTAAATTTGTTTATTTAAACTATTTTTTCTTAATTTTAAACTATTTTCTATAATTTTTAACAATGCTTACGTAAATATATATATATATATATATATATATATATATATATATATATAAAGATATTTAATAAAATAATAAATATTATTTTTATGTAATCCTGACTAATAATTTCCTTTTTAAAGATATTTTTTACATAAATTATATTTTTTATATTAAATTGTTACAATTTGATATCATGATATTATTTAAAAAACATCTTTTATAGCAAGCATGTAAACGAGAAAAAAGGTTTATTGACTTATCATTAACATACTCCGCAATAAGGCATTATCGTTAAATTTATATTATTATATTAAAAAACATTTTTATCAATATAAAATAACCACAATTGGTTGATGGTTTAGTAACTAAAATTTGGTAAAAAAAATATTTTGTTTAACTTACAAAAATAATGATGTTTTCTCACTCCACAAATTTATTGAAAATTATAACTTTAAGATTTTTTTTTTATTTGTCTTACTTAATTCGATTATAAACTAATTTTAATCAGTTTAATTTAAAAAAATATGCTTGACGCGTAATGTGTAAAGTGGACATGTTTTGTAATTTTCACGTCAGGTATAATTTTTTATTTATTTATTATGGTTAAAGATAAAAAAAAATAAATGTGTGAGAATTCTAATTAGATAAACATGTAATCTTTCTATAGGGTCTCGTTCATATAAATTGTTTTCCACATCAAAAAATTGTAAATGATAGATTTTTATGAAGTTACATATTTAAGAAATTTCAAACAACTTATTCTCCCAGTTTGTTTTTTTTAAATTGTTTGGTGAAACAATTTAGATATTTTTAAATAACTTATTATTTTTAAAAGAATTGTTGCAAATAGTTTATTCGCGTGAACAAATATCTTATATTATAAAAACAAAAATCAACTGTGGAAAATGTTTATTGACTTAATCCACAACATATTGCAATCTATGATACAATGTTTGACTAAACTTAAAATATGCAGCATAAGATACACTTTAGTCTTTCATTTTATTTTCTTTAAAATTTTTATTTGTTATCAAACAAATATACGAAAAACATTTGTTATTAATATTTTAATTATATGCTATGATATGATAAATTATATTTGATCTTGTAAATTTAATTACTCACTTAAGCGTACTATAAAATTAATTAAATTATTTCAATTGCCCATAAAACTGATAATTTTTTTTAAAATGCACTAATCATTGTTTACATTATTTATAATTTAATTTGATAACTAAAAATTTTAAGAGATTAATATGTTAAAATAAGATTCTGGCCACCAAATAAAGTATTATCGTCATAGGGTAAAAAAGGTAAAACAATTAGATTGAAATCTAAAACAAGTGGAAATTTACACTACGAGATATTAATTCTTTTATTTTAGAATATGCAGGAATTTCATTCCTTAAAAATCATATATTGTTGAAGATGTATAAAAGAAATTAAAAAAGAGAACAAAATTGGTAAAATAAATAAATAAATATAATGTGGAGTTAGTAGCATTGAGATAATCAATTTGTCAAATTGGAACGTATCTCTTCCTTCTCTCTCCGTATAAAGCCAAATTTTAACCTAACTTGCTTTACAAGTCCAAATCAGATGGCAATTATTCCTCTATTCGTGTTATTCTTTTTCATAGTTATCGCCAAAAAAAAAAAAAAAAAAAAAAAGACGAACGAGAAGAAAGAACCTTTCACCACTGTGTTCTATAAAAGTTGTCGATAGCAGTGGCTTTTTCTCTTCATCTCCGAATCTTTCTTCTTCTTCCTTTGTTATTTTCCTTCACCCGAGCCCTGAATAAGTGATTCGAAACTGCAAAACCAAAACCCTAGGCAATGGCCCTAGCACGTGGATCCATCCTCACTCGATCAGTCTGGTCCTCGAATCTCGAATCGGAGTTCGAGTTAATTCGATCCGTCATCGACACCTTCCCGCTCATCTCGATGGACACCGAGTTCCCCGGCGTCGTTGTGCGCCCCGACACTGGCGACCCCTCCTTCTACCACCGCGAACCAGCCGCACATTATGCCGTGCTTAAAGCCAACGTCGACCGCCTCCACCTGATCCAGATCGGTCTCACTCTATCTGATCAGGTCGGGAATCTACCAACTCTCGGCACCTCCAACGCCTTCGTATGGGAATTCAATTTCCGAGATTTTGACGTTGCTCGTGACGCCCACGCTCACGATTCCATCGAGTTACTGCGGCGCCAGGGCATCGACTTCGAGAAGAATCGGGAGTTTGGGATCGATTCGGTCCGGTTCGCCGAGCTCATGATGTCCTCCGGTCTGGTCTGCGACGACGTCGTTAGCTGGGTGACGTTTCATAGCGCCTATGATTTCGGATATCTGGTGAAATTGTTGACACAGCGCACCTTGCCCGATGGATTGGCAGAATTTCTCCGTCTGGTGAGGGTGTTTTTCGGTGATAGAGTCTTTGATGTGAAACATTTGATGAGGTTCTGCTCAAACCTTCATGGTGGTTTGGATCGAGTGTGCCAATCACTGAATGTGGAACGAGTTGTAGGGAAAAGCCACCAGGCCGGTTCAGATAGTTTGCTAACCTTGCATGCGTTTCAGAACATTCGTGAGGTGTATTTTGGCAAGGCTGATGGACTTGTTCAATATGCAGGTGTCTTGTATGGATTGGAGATTTTCTAATTTTTCTAATATGAAATAATATATCAGCAGCTTTGGTGTAGGTTTCTTTTGCATGCTTTAGTTGTAAAGCTTACTCATTATGGCTTATCAATATCAAATATCATTAGAAGTTATTATTATTTTTTGGTTCTGTTTCACTCTGCATTTCATATTATCAAATTATGAATCAGTTCTGTTTCTGCTGCTACTATTTTTTTGTCTAGGTTACTTTTTATATCCATTCTTTCGGTAGGAAAGTCTATTATCTCACACAGCCATTTCCTTGGTTGGAATAGAGCTGCAATAGTTTTTCAAAAGAATGTTGGACAATGGTAGGATATTGCCTAAAGTGGTTTGAGTATGTGTGGAGAAGGCATGTAGAAGTCTCAACAAAAATTAGATCAAATAGAAGAAAATCCTAATCGTTAGCACAGTCTTTGTTTTGAGGGGAATGGAATGGAGGGATTTCTATAAAATTTTGTTGCTCAATTTTTAGAAAGGATGGAAAGGGGAATGGAGGTGAGCAAAAGGGGAGTAATGACCAAAGCATTCCTACTCAAGTTTTGAAATTTACTATTATAAGATGCCATGGTATATTAATTTTTAAAATTCCTCAACTTTCATTGTTTGTGACTAAACAAAAAAATTGGTTACTCTCCCTCTCCATTAAAATCTATCCCCTCTCAACCAAGCTGTCCCCTGAAGGCAAAGAAAGACAGGGAAAAGTATAGGTGAAACATTCCTTGCTAAAGAATATTTTTTCTGTAAGCATGATTTACAAAAAAATATTTGGCATTGTTTGAACCATGCGGTCCACTCCACATAATGAAAAAAGGCTTGGTTGTTATTGTTCTTATTGCATGCATTTACTTTAAGTACGGAAGGGTGTTGATTAATGTGAGACCTAAACTAAGATGACCATGGTCTTTGATATTATTGGAATGTTGATTTATTGAAAGTAATGTTTTGGATAACTTATTTAAACTTTATTGTATATGTTACTTGTTAGTAAAATAATGTTTTTAATACAAGGGGAAGTAAGTTTATGATACTTGTTTGTTAGCTAGGTGGTTGAGTTGGATAACTTAGAAAATGTGAAGGGGAAGGAGGCATTCTACTTTGTTATCATCTGTAGATTGAGATTTTGCGGGTTGGGAATGAACAAATTCATTGAGAAGGAAAAAAAAAACCCTTAGGAGAGGACTCCTTTGTTGAATTTTTTGTTCAATTTCACTGGATAAAGCAGTAATTTGATTTATAACAATTGGTCTAATATACTGGCTCCAAATTTGGGATAGAAGGAAACTAATCCTGAGGATTGAGGATAAGGAGTTGGTAATCAACAGCCTTGTATCTGTGATGAAATTTCTCAAGAAGGGGGACCAGGAAACAAAGTTGGCAGCTCTCAGAAACCAAGAAGGTTGAAGGATTCAAGAGATCAGACAAAGGCTACAGCAGTTGAAGAAACAAAGCATTAGTGTTGAGTCAGGAGAAGAGGACAAATACCCAACTGGTTAGAGTTGACTTTGAAGCTAATCGGAAGGCTTTGAGTGGCCTATATACGAATTTGAGAAGAAAAAAAGGATCTTGAGAAAAGTGGTCGCAAAGGGTTTAGTGATGATGAATGTGGAAGAGTGTGCTGTTTTTTTTGTCGAAAAAGAAGTTTCTGTTATCCAATTCCAATAGTGGTTCAGATAAAATGAAGGGGAATTCATATACCAAGAATCCCTTTTTTGTGCATGGGTGGTTGAGTTGCCAAATTGCAATTTTAGTGACAATGTGGAATGGGCTACTGGATTCTTCATGCTGAAGCTGACAGAGAGGTATGAGAACAACCGGATTCACATATCATTAAGTATGACCAAATTGTAGATATGGTCAAGGTCGAGAATGGGAGTAGAAGAGAAAAGGCTAAGGTTGAGGTGGTGGTGTTTTCACTTTTGAAGCTTGTTTGTTAGTGAAATGACGTGGAATGAAAAACGTTTGGGGACAGATATGCAGAGAAAGATGGGTGAAGCATTTTAATGGCTTCCAAAATTTGGAGCTTTAACTGGTTGGCCAAATCTTTTATCCGGGATGCATGCAAGATTATGAAGCAGAATCAGGAGTTTGCAGCAGTGACTTCTGATATCAGGGATTATATGAAGTCTGACTGTGCCACACCACACTAGCTACTGGGTGCAAAGCTAATATGTGGGTTGGCCACTACCAGAAGAGCCACTATGGATTTCAACTAGTGAGATATGAGGTGCTTTCCTCATAGACACTTTTGCAGAGAATAATAGGAGAAGGGAAGACTTGACAATCTTCAAAGTAGATCTAATTGATGACATACAGGACCCAGCCCAATTGGTCAATTGGATTCATTAAGCAAGGTAAGGATGAATAGTAGATCCTAAATAGTGAAGGGGTGTACCAAGCTTAAATTCGTCTTGAAAGTTTTAAACTACTGAACTTGAGCTGCTTGATGCTATCCTCAGACTTCCTTGCAATGATGAATGATTGATGAAAATGGATGGACAACCAATACCTATTCCAACTCCAGATGGAATATGTTTAATCAGTAAGCGTTTTTTTTTTTTTTTTTAAATCTGATTGTAATGTTTGAGGATCCATTAGGTCTATAAAGTAATGGTTATCATTTTTCTCATGCCCTGAGTATTGTTTGCATCTTGCTTGGTAAGCGGAGAACAACTGTTAAGGGCAACAACTTGTGTTATCATCTTTCTTGGAAAGAGAGCAACAACTTTTCAGGAAAGGGGTTATTTTTTGGCAAAGTTGCACTTGTATGATGAATTTGACTAACCATGTCTATCTTAGTAATGCCATTGGGATTGGAGATCTGACTACAGTTTTGATTAGACTTCTTGATGGGTTGATCCAGATGAACCTGTTTTGCATGCATGAATGGTAAGATGTATTAAGAATGAATATGAATTATGAACTAATACATTCATGTATGTCTTAGAAAGGAAATTTGAAAATGATATTAGCATGTCATATTCAGAGTGGGTCAGCACGTCATAATCCAGCATTTATCAATACTTATGCTCCATGAAGTGTGACAGTGTCTAATTAATATCAGTAGCCGGTGGCCTGTCCAGTTGGATGCGGTCCACCTTTTTATTCTTCCCATTGTATTGTATTTGTTTTGACACACCAGACCACGTGATGACATTAGCTTGAGAATGTTTCATGGTCTTTCGATGTTAAAGATAGTCCGATCCTAAATTATGTAGCTAAATGGACAAAGAAAATATTATATATAAATTGGACTGTCTGGCACCATTGGTTCTTCTGATGTGACATTCTATATTTTATTACATAGGAGAAAAATTGAGACACTTTCTGTATGAAAATTATAGTAAGACATAAATTAGAACTTTACTCAAATTGTTATGAGCATATATCATTTTTTAATTTAATTTTGCTTCTTCATTTTTTAATTTAATTTTGCTTCAACCATTACAAAAAGCGGTGAAGTAAAAACATCAATCCTCAATTTTTTGTACAAGCCACAAATAATAATATCCATAAAAACTGGGTGAGTTGGTGGGGACTGGATGTGTATACGGCGTCTTCCCTTTTGTTTTATAGCACTGTGGATAGGGTTCCACCATAAAAATAATATGATTGTGTTGTTCAGTTTAGAAGTTGAAAGAATTATAAGTTGCTCGCTATTACTATTAATTTTTATTGGAACAATATTACAATATCATGTACGTTACATGCATTGGACAACTTCATAAGTCTTGAATTTGTCATGAAAAATAATCAATCTAGTTACATTTGTTCTGACCAATGTTGGGATGATTCAGACACACAAATAAACAATTAATTGAATGATAAACAAAACATGGAAGAGAAGATCACAGACCAATTGCCACTGACGAAACCTTTGTAGTTCTGTGGCTTTCTCTCAAGGATCTCCCATCTGCTCTGCACAATATTATGTATTCCCACTTACAAAGTGTGTTACTAATTTATGAGGCAAATAAATAAATATATTTATTTATTTATTTGGACATCAGTCATTTTAAGAAACTAAATTAGTTTTACAGAATTATTTGTTTGTTTTATACTTTGATTTCTAACATACATTTTTAATAAAGTTTATAAAATTTAATAATATGTAATCTTTTTTTTAAGAGAAATAAATACATATTTGTCATAAAACCCGTGACATGTAAATTTAATTCTTAAAACTTGAAACCCGTGCAACGTTTTATTGAGGCACAATACAGGTTGTTCAACAGTTTCATTTATGAGTGGACTTTATATTAAATGTGGTTATATTATTATATATATATATATATATATATATATATATATATATATATATATGTGTGTGTGTGATTATTTTTTTCAATTAATTTAAAAGACGGTGATGCTTAAAACTTTTTTAAGAGAAATTTTTATGGGGTAGAACTTTATATTTAGAAATATTTATTTATTATATAAATTTTATATCAGTTAATGAGAAATTTTAAAATGTAAATACTTTATTATATATAATATAAAAAAAAATTGTCTTTTTTTTAATCAGAGAAAAAAGTAAAATGTTATAATTTAAAGAAAAAATAATTATAATTTATATATTTAAAAAAATAATAAAACTATGAAAAAATAAAAATAGATATATTTAAAAATTAAAATAGAAAATAAAATAAAACTTTTAAAAAATTAATTATATAAAATCATGGATATGTGTATTAATATATATATATATATATATATATTATAAAAAAATTAATACTTTTGTCTGAAAAATATTTTTTAAGATTTGGTAATCGTTCATACAAAATATTTTACTAATCATTATTTTTGAGATAATAGTTAGAAAATTAGAACTAATTAAAATATATTAAAAATATATTTTGTCTACAATTTTATAATAGTATTTATAGTGATTTTTTAGGTAATTGAGAAGTTATTGAAAATGATTTGTTCTTAGTTTGATTATATATTATTTAGTAGTTGTGAATGAAATATAATCAATTAAGCGAGTTTATATTTGAATGGAGGTCAAGTTTTGAGAAAAAAAAAAGAAAAAGAAAAAAAAAGAGAATTTTATTTGAGTAGGGATGAAAATGTTGAAAAAAATTAGATATTTAATTGAGATAGTAGAATTGGTAGATAGAAAGAGGACAAGTTTTAAACACATGCAAGAGAAAGATGTTAAAATAGATAATATTTCAAAGATGATTTTTTAAGGTATGACCAATAAAGGTAAGAGAGAGTGTATATTGTTATTTGATGAGTTATGTATGTTAATTAGGTAAGCAACAGTAAGATACATGTGTAATCAATTTAGTACAAAGTTGGGTATGGATGATGATAGTCATTATGTTTTGGGTATATGTCTTCAAATTTAATATTGTTTAATATCACAAATGGTTAATGTTATCAACCTTCAATCAAGAGATTGAACCTATTCTATTTTCAATCAAGAGATTGAACCTATTCTATTTAGTGTAACATTATGTATATCTTGTGATAATAATAATAATAATATGGTAGTTATTTGGTTTATTGGGTAAAGTGTGTAGAAAATGAATAATCTGAAACAGTGAAATGAGCCAGGAAGATGCAGCTTTCCAAATTGACCCACCACTCCTTTAAAATCTTCCCACCCAAACTCACAAACCACTGAACCACATCTGACTTCCCATTAATGCCCCCAACCCAACCCAACATAATACCAACTTCCTTCACTGCTTCATTCCCAAATTCATTCATTTCAATCTGCATTTCATTTCCCATGGGCAAGAAAATGAAGCTTCCTTCCCTCCTCCATAAGAACTCAGCTCCCACCACCAAAACTTCTTCCACTTCCTGGCCGTGGCCCTCCTGCCACCAACCCCGAACCCTCTCCTTTCGAGCCCAGAACGACGCCGCTTTCAAAACCATCAACGCAGCCTACTTGGACACCCCGGAGAGCTCCCACTCCTTCTTCACAGTCTCCCCTGACTCTGGAAGCTTCTCAACAGCATCAGAAGAAGATTCTAGAAGACCTGATTCTCTTGAGACCCTCATTCGTCACTTGCCTTCAGATCGTTTGTTCTTCCACCCTGACCAGACAAGCTCCATATTAGAGTCCAAAGCAGGAACTTCAACGCCAATACCACCAGAAACAACTACGACCACAACAACAGCACTAACTACAACGTTGCCGTTCAAAGACAGCGTGGTCATGTCCGTGGAGTCTCAGGACCCTTACGTGGACTTCCGCAGGTCCATGGAGGAGATGGTGGAGGCGCAGTGCGTTGAGGACTGGGAAGGTCTTCAAGAGCTTTTGTGTTGGTATTTGAAAGTCAATGGAAAAAGCAACCATGGTTATATTGTTGGTGCTTTCATTGATTTATTGGTAGCTTTATCTTCCACGGCCTCTCCTTCTAATATTAACACTCATTCTCCTTCTTCCCCTTTATCTTTCTATAGTTCTTCTCTTTCTTCCTCTTGCAGCACTCGCTGTGTTTCCTGTTTGGAAGTTGAGGACGAGGTTGATATAGCTACCCCTGGTTCTTCTTTCTTGTTAGAACAAGTTCGGGAAGATGGAACTTCATCTTCTGTTTCCTCTTTGAATTAAATATTTCATTATGAGAAATATTAATTATTAATTGTAGTTGTACTGTATTATAGTTGGTACTTTTATGTTTATAGTTAGTAGCATCTTTTTGTTTGATAGTGCTACCATGACTCTTCCTGCATAATCTCTGTGTTTATGGGAGTCACACTTATGCAGAAAATGCAACTATCCCAAGAAATGGAGCTAGGTTGTCAATTTTTGTTTCCTTTACTGCATAGGAAGCCAAGGATTAGAAATTCCTTTATTTAGCTTAAATTATATTATCATGCTTACAAGTAAAGTCATTATCTCTTGTGAATCTATATATATCTGGCTAAATGACACCAAATCCTCTATTGCTTTCAATGAGATAGACACTCTTCTTTTCTCAATCTGAACATAGTTTTTTGGAGTAAGATTAACGTTGTTTATGGTAAATAATTAATAAATATGGACAGGTGTATTTTTTAACACAGTAAATCCATGAGATTCTACAGGGACGAGGTTAGCTGGTTAGGTTTGCTTTGTTCAACGGTGTTCTACGAATTTATGACATGCACTGTTCCATACACGCTAACTTGTTGCCAAGTGCAAACCAAGTCTCCTCATCTGTAATGCAAAAATGATACAAAACTGTTCATAAGTTTGCTTTTAATATTTAAAAGTATCATATGATCAATAGGTAATAAACAAACTATTAACATATATTTAATCTTTATTTTTTAAGTAAAACATTTATTCATCATTTTTACTCGATATAAAACATTTCTTATACTCACTCAGCCGAACCAATAATTGGATTTTATAAAAGCAACAGTGAGTAGAGACAAATTTCAGACACCAAAATACAAATATTTTTTTCATATAAATCATTGAATTTGTTTGTTTGTCTTGAAAATAATTGATGTTTTTTTAGTATAAATGTGATATTAATATTCTAATGACATTGGTTAATAGTTGTTTGAAAAAAATGTCAATTAATGTATCAAACATGACACATTAAAAGAGAGTATAATAATATTAGTAATAAACTGTTTCAGTGCAACGCATATATAGTTGCTCCTCTAGTGAGATATCGACCATTGGATACGTTGCAGTTGTGTTCATCAGAGCTGACACGGTTAGGAAGATCAGAGCCGTTAGTTTTTGAATTTGACAGTCGTTATCAAATGATGGGTACAAATCCAGCACAGAATTTTGGCGTGGTCCTGCTGAACTTATCCTGTGTGCCTGCACCAAGCTGCATTATCATGGTGTTTGGCCAGAGAAACTGAGAACATTAATACATCTATGTTTATCTACATCTCATACATATGCTTGTGTTGGAAAACATTGCCTTTATAGGCTTATCCTATTATAGGTCTAAATTTTGGCATGTAATTTTGTTTTCGAATCCAATACTAGCTTCCTGCAAAATATTGAAAAATAGTAAAAAGAAAATTTCCATTTATCTTCGCAATGAGTAAATTAATATATTACTTAGATTCAATATGTGTTTTTAAAAAATAGATGAATTGTTTTTTTTTTTATATCACTTGGTGGTGGGACATCTTAATCCCTAGTAAACCATCCAACGACACACATGAAGTTAGATAGATAGTTGTCACTCACTTTCAACAAAACTAGTGGTTGTTAGAAAAAACAAGAAAGGTGACATGGTGACATGTTCGAGGATGAAGAGAATGTAAGAAAAAATAAAAAATTTAATCATACGCCCTGTCGAATTAATGGTAAAAAAAAAAAAAAATCTGATATTAAATCCGGTACTACAGATGTCCCTCTCCTTTACATTGGACCCAACCATCTCCAAATGGTAATAAAGAAAATTCAGAAAGAACATGAATAAATAGGTAATAGTATCACATGTTGTAATAAACTATTTCATCCCATTCACTTATTTATTTAAAAATAATAAAGATAAACTATTAAGTAGTAATCAATATAAAAAAATATAATTAAGAAATTAAAAATAATTTATTAGGTAAAAGTATACAATTTAATATTTTATTTTAAATAATTAAAATACTTATTAATTGTATCTAATATGAATTTGTTTTTCTGCAGTTATGCCTAATTACCTTATAATCAGTAGTGTAGAATGTTTTTTTTATGTAGGATATTTTAAATTTTCTACATTTTATAGAAGATCGACGTTAATATAGGAAACGTAAATTTACATTGGATCCTTTGACCGATGTAAATTCACGTCAGATATCGAAACCCGACGTTAATCTACATTCATATATGATGAAACACACGTAAAAGACTTCAAAAATTTAAAAAAAAATGGACGAATTACGTCGGACATACACACGTCCGACGTAAATTTCATCCTTTTTTTTATTATTGGGTTTATTTTGTCTTATAACCAAAACTTGCAAACATATATTATAGCCAGACGGTCCAGAAGTTCAAGTTTATTTGAAAACTTGAAATATTAAAGTACATAATACAATACAAACTAAAAATATTGAAAAAAAAACTTATTATTTTGTAATATGATGTCCTGATAGTGGAGATGGATGAATATTGAAATACATGAAACATTAATTTGACTCTATTTAACATGCAATACACACAAAAGTAAACGAACTTAACAAATGTTGAAATTAATTACCTCTGATTATATCCGCATAAACTTTTGTTTATTACATGTGCTTAGAAGCATATTTTGGAAAAACTATTAGGACAAATCCCCTCTGAGAATTTGCCCCCTCTTCTTCATTTTCATATGTTGTGTGTCCGAATCCGACATCCGAGTGAAAAATTATCTTGCTTCGAACATTTTTCATTTTTTTTTATCATAAAACCCTAATACACAAAACAACAATAACAACCTAAACCCCCAATATGCAAATTACAACAACAAAAAAGTATGATTCAAACACATAAAATAATAACTACAACCGTTCAATATCAATAACAATTCAGTAGAAACATTCAATTTTAACACAAAAGAGGAGACGTGACACCTAACTGTTGTAAAACTCGAATTCAATCGAAGAGAAATGTCAACCACCACAAATGGGACACAATAAAAGTATTTTCATCACTCACTATGGTCGAAATATACCTTAAGAGGAGCTAGTCATTGTAGTTGTCGTCGTTCCCATCGTCATTCTAAAAAACCCTTGCTACGCGAGACGAGAGAATGATGCAAAAATAGAATAAAACACGAATTTTACGTCAGATCAATAGAGTTTTGACGAAAAAATTAATTAAGCTTTTAACATCGGACTCATAAAGGGGTGATGTAAAAAATGTCTTTTACGTCGGACCCCTATTGGTCCGATGTAAAAAACCTTGTTTACGTTACTATTTTATAAATCCGATATAAAAATCCTATCCAATATTTATAAAATTACCATAATATTTTTTTTAATTTAATTATTTTTTGATTGGACGAAAATTAGATAACTTAAAAAGCTTTTTTCACTAATAAATAAGTATAACAAACTACTCAGATTTAATTGTCCAATAGTTATTATATACAAATTAATTCCTCAAATTATAAGTATTAACCACTATTTTAAGAAAGTATTATCACTATAATATTATTTTAGATGAATTTTTTAATAGATATTTACAGTAAAAGAAAAAATATATGTTCTCCTTTCACCTGTCAAAATTAATATATTTACAGTAAAAACTAAATAACATTCTTACAATTTTAAAACTAAATTAGTTATAGCTGATAGAAGTTAATATAATAACACGTTGTTATTCTCATTTAATTGAATTTTAATTAGAATATTGTATATTTCATATGTTGTTGCTGTAATTAGTTAAAATGTCACTTTAAAAACCTATAATGACATTGAGACCAATTTTGAGGAGTCAAACTTTGCAGTAGCAGTAGTAGTAGTAGTAATAGGTTGCTAAATTCAAGTTATTCTCAACCTTTATAGTAGCTGTCTGAACTTGTTTTGTTTTGAAGTAAAACACATTTTTCAAAGGTTAGAAACTCAAAAACAATGAATCATAGATTCCTGCTCACACATGATTCTTGTTCTTATATAGAGAAGAAGCTTCTAAACCTGAATTTTATTGTATTTTAAATTTCATTTCTCAGTAAAATAAGTAAAGGTAGGTTTTTAGCATAGTAGCTTCTACTATCGAGTGAGACAGACACAGATTTTAATATTTAATATCCAGTTGTATAAATTATTATTGAATTGTTAACTCCAATTAATGAGAAGCAGTAGGTGATCCTAAAACATTGATCAAAACAATATTGACCTCAAAACCAATTAATTACTCATCCCAATATGTCTATCTTGCCTTACAAAGTACTAAAATTTAATTAATCATCAAATTATCACCTTAATTGTTATGAGACTTGAGTAAATAAATAATTTAATTTATTATCACTTGAAACATCAATCCCTAAATTTGATTTTAAATAATTAAAAACATATTTTTTTTCCAGAAAGTACTTTTTAGATAAAAAATATATATTTTTGAAGTAATTTTGGTGGTATTCTTCTCTTAGAATCCAAGTTTTATCCAATAATTATATTAATTTCAGAACAATTTTTTTATAAAACTTCAATTTGAACATACTAAATTTGTCTTTTACTTTATAAGTCCTAGTAAAAAAAAAAAAACTTTTTAACATCCTTATTTTTAATGGGACCAATAAACAGACACACTGTGGATTTTAACTTACTAAGAACATGGGAAAAAGCAGAGGAGAATGCAAACTTTAAAGCCATAATCAATGTTTGTTCAGTATTTAGTGAGATAATGACCTTACAGTGATACTCTCATTTTCCGAGAAATTGAATTTGCACGAGAAGTGTGTCCAAGTGGTTAACGAAACACAAATTACGGAAGTTGGTGTTCATGGGGTGAAGCTCGTTGCTTTCTGTGGCCTTGCATTAAATGCTCCTCAGAGCTGTTGAAGCAGATTCATTATCCCAGGTTTGCCATTTTCTGGTTTCTGGTAGATGTGAAGCAGAACTTCAGTAATTGCATTCCACTACTTCTTCTTTAAATATGCATATAACAACATCCAACAT